GTTGCACCCCGGTTAACTGTACCTCCTGGCTCTCAGTCTGAATAACTCCTGGAATTGCAGAACACCATCCGTCGGTGAGGAGTCTCCAGGAAACATGGCATCATCTGGGGAAAAGGAAGACTGATCTGTCAGGGAGACTCCCTGTGGTTGCTCATCCCTCGATTAATGTTCTTCATTTGCCTGAGTGGTCTGAACCGGAGGTGGAATGTCACCTGTTGGTGATCTTGTGCCTGAAGGAGTAGGCAAGGCAGTGCCATGTGTTTCCTGTGACTGTAGTGAATGCAGTGAACATGACTGGATTCTTCTACTGAGTGGGATTGTGAAACTACATATCTATGTCCATGTCTTCAGTAATATTGGTATCTCGGAGAGTATCTGCTCTTGTCGTGATAGTGAGAGCACGCTGACAGCGTAGGTGATCTTGGTGAATGTGATCTTCTACGGTGGTACCTGTGTGAAGGTGGTGACCAGTGTCATTAATAGCAATGCGGAGAAAGAGAGTAATGCAGTGAGCATTGGTATGTTCTGATGAGACTGTGATGTCGTCCGTTTCTGGGTCGGATTGGCTCTGGAGATAACGGTTCCAGAGAAAAAGGAGGAGGTTCTGGACTTAAAAGAGGAGTGTCGATTCTCCTTGATTTGCACTTGGCCTTCATCGGTACTGGAGACGACTCTCTCTGCAATATAGGTGGAGACACATGGTGCGTTGGAGCATTCGGTGCTGCTTCGATTGGCGCTGCTGCGGTCGGTGCTGGGGCCATCGTCAACTGATCTGTCCATTCCAAGGCCGTCAGTGCAGCAGTTGTCAGCACCATGTCCATAGGTGCCGTTGCTGATCGTGTTGGTACCAAGGCGGTGCTGTTATCCAGCCCTAGTCTTGGAGGTGGCAGTGCCGACATAGGTGCCTGTTTTGTCGGTGCCGGTGCTGATTCGGGTCTCGGCGCCGGAGAGGAGCCTGTTGCCGGTTCCCTAACGAGAGCCGGATTAGGAGCCGATGTGCTATGGCTGGATTTATGCTTCTCGGGGCAGTGGCTAGCAGTCATGCCTGAGGTACCCGGCTTATCTGCAGAGCTCACTCGTGGTAGGGATTGAGACGATGAGGCTTTCTTTGTGTGAGCACTCGTTC